TCAAAATAAATACATCAACATGCAGATCCTCAAACTGAACAGGGGAAAGAACAAAAACTACTGCACATCAATTCCCCCACACTTATGAATTTCCATATTTGTCAAACTGTGATTAGTCACAAAACTGAACTAAAATTAAAAAATTTAGAGTTTCATAACAAATCAGGAGGCAATTCCAAAGAAGCACAAGTGCCTTTTCCAGGCAAATGTGAACACTTGTTACCTGTTTTTCACCATTCCCTCTTTTTTCCCCTTCTCTAATGCAAACAAACACTACCAGAAAAAGACTTGATCCTACTCTCATTTACATCAGTTTTACAGAACTTTGTCAATTGCTTTCAGTGGAGGGACTTCAGCAGCATCACAGTCCCACAGCATATGCCTGCTTCAGCTGCAGTCAAATTGTTCATTTTATTCAAGCTAAGGACAAAGTGAAGAGCTGGGGATTTACAGTGGGGAGAAAACAAGACTCAGTTCCACACATAAAGATACATTCAGCTTAAGGAAACTCCATGACAGTCATCAACACATCAAATTCACACTGTTTTTTCTGTCTTGTGATCACTTTTTTTAGTTTAACAAATTTGAAAGAAATAGTGGTAGGATGTAGGCACCTCTGCACCTGGAGAGAGTTGGACAGCTCCACTGAAACCAGTGCATCAGATCTTCCAGTCAACATAAATATCCCTGGGACCACTGAAGTTACTCACAAGCCCACCAACTGGAATAAATTCATATACTGCCCTTAAAATCTGTGGTGTTACTTTGATTTACAGTCACTAAAGAAGTGCCATGTTACACACCAAAAAAAAAAGGAAAATTTGACTGACATATTTGTAGGAAATTTTAGAGGGGAGGAGCTACAAGACTTTATTTTCTTAACAAATGTCTGAAACTGCTGCATCTGTTTGAAATACAGGGTGGGCTTGATTTGGACTCTGTCCTTTTCCCAGGCTCAAGGACAATTGAAGTGATGGGTTTTTTTTGCCTAAAAATATCTCTAAAGTCAGTGTATAACATGAAGCTACCACAGACATTCATATCCCCTCTGTGCTAAGCCAGGAGGTCAAGCTCTGCAGGATACCTCTGCAGTGAGGAGGGAGAGAGCACAAAATTCTGAGGGCACATAAGAGGATGGTGCTAAATCAGTTTTAACCCTTTTGAGAAGGAAATGCCCCCTCTTGCCCTGCTCCATTGTCCTTTAGGATGGTGAGACTGTAAAAACATGTGAGAAGCTTTTGGGGTATCCTTCTGTGCACTTTCTAGTGACTCAAGGCTCCTGCAAGGAGTTAAACAAGATGTTCATGGCTGGGATACTTCATACCAGCATAAAGCACATCTTAAACAGCTTATGAACTATTTTCCACAGCCAAGTAATTAAGTGTGGGCAGGAAATTGGGTTGCAGCCGTACACAAAAAAAAATAGCACCAAGATGGTACCTGCTCAGTCTCTCTCACTACTTGCCCCAGTTTTTTCCAGCTTAGTCAAGACCACACCATTCTCCTCACTTCCACTCCCTACCTGTTGTAACCACCTCTGCTTCACCCCTGTAGTTTCCCCAAAGTAGAGAAGGGCAAAAAGGGCACTTTTGGGTACAATCCTCTTAAATGTGACTTCCTGCAAGGTTTTCAATTTTCTGATTTACAGGAGTATTTTAGACTTACAGGAAATGTTATAATGCTTGGAACCCCAGGCAAAATTCCAATATTTCCTCAGCAGTTTATCTTTTATATCTTTTGCTCTTCACTTCTCTGGAAAGAGAAGAAAGTGTGATTGATGTTCAGGTTATCAATTAGCTAGTAATTGTCACTTTTCTACACTGATAATTAAAGTGTGGAAATATCTCTTCTTACAAAAGTCTGTCTCTACTTGGATCATTTTTCCACAGTAACAGCGAGGTTTGTGTATACACATTTACTGTAATAATGTCAAAGTTCAGTCATACGCAGAGTTTATTAGATTTTGTTTTATTCTTTCCCTTGAATTATTCATTGAATATCTATAATTTCCCAAAGAATAATTTCATAAAGTGCTGCAGCAATACAACTTTCCATATATAGCACACCAATGTGAATGATATTTATGATGTACTCAAAGGAAAATCAGCCTGTTACATTAATCATGTAAAACTATTGAAAAATTACATTTAATCATTTCTATTTCAAAATAAAACCTGCTCAGAGCTTTAAATCTGTGAGAAACCTAGAATTAAATTTCATACAACATTGCCTCCAAGAGTATGTATAATTATTCAATACTTCCAGGTTTGTCTGGTGTTCAGTGATCTCTCATCTCATTTTCTCTGAATTGTGAGTTGTATTTAATCTTTTTTATTTAGTACTTTTTGCTTAGAATGTTCCAGCTTTAATGAAGAGAAACAGCAAGACAGATAAAGCTCTGTCCTTTGGTGAAGACTCAAGAAGGAGATGTCTCCTTGCTCCATCCCAGTTCTGACTCAGGGCACCAGGGCACAGCTTCCAGCACCTTCTCTGCTTATCCCAGGCCCTGTGGCTGAAGAGCCACCTCCAGCACTTGTGCTGCCAGCCCAGGGCAGGACACAGCAGGTTTTTACAGAGTACCACAAATCTCCTGTGGCTGTCAGTCCCTTCAGCAACTGGATGAAGGAAGCAAAATGTGGCCCACTAGAGATTATCACTAGAAATGTGGTGACACTGGGATTTTAGGTAGCTTCAGTAAGATTAGTAAACTCTTTTGAATGCCACCAAGTTAGAAGATTAATTTTTCCCTATGTTTCACTTCTGAGAGCGCTGAACCACACTGTAATTCAATTTGAACTGTCTGACAATTAAACTTTCCAGGCTTTACTATAGTCTGCCTGTACAAAGTCAAGAGAAAGTCAAGTCTGAGAACAAAACCTGCTCTTCATTAGGCCAAAAAGCAGAGGTTCTGCCTTGTGTTCCTGGCAGGCTCATGTGCACTGCAAGCCAAATCATGCTGACATCTTTCAGATGTTTGAAAAGATAAACAGGGTGTACCAAGATGCTGAGTATGTGGCATATGAAATCAAATAAAAAATGAGTGTGCATGATTCCTAATGAACCAGAATATATTGTCATAGAGCTTTACCTTTGTCAGGACTGCAGGAACATTCCATAAAGTCAATTCTTCAAAAGCTGGTATCTATAAATAAACAACCATGTACTTAATTAGAAAATAAATCTATTGAAATGTAATAAAGCCCTTATGAACTCTAAAATGCAAAATGTGTGTGTATAGAATATATAAGCCTATATATATAGCTGAAATTTTTCAGAATTTTATGGTCCCTACAAAGGAACCAAAGAATGAACAATTGGTATAATATTAACAATCTCAGCTTTCAGCTTTGAACATTAATAACTTATTTGAAATTGCCCAGCCTCCTGTATATGAGCCACCCTGTAGTGCTTCAGCTGATTCTGATTCTCTTTGTGCAGAAACCTTTTAGCTAATCATTTTCATCTCTGTGTGTCAATAAATCTTGCATCTCTAGGGCAATGACTTTTACTCAGCAAATGTTAAGCAGAAATAAAACCGCCCAGAACAGTCTAAGCATGAGAATTTCAATAAGAATTTAGCAATATATTGATCCATTTCTCCCCCTTCTGACTTTTCATTACTATGTCACTTTCAGCTCCTGAATTCAATAAGATGAAAAGCTCAAATATCATGTGTCTTATGGACTTTAGACAATCCTGCTGAAATTATTTTTGGCTTCTTCACCAACAGTAAACTCAAAAAATGGTCAGTAATCTGTTCTTGAAGGGAATAGTTGACAGTCACAGACTACAAGAGAGTGACTTTGTCTAGAAACAGTGTAAAATGTAGAAATTAGAAAATAAAAAATTATTATATTGTATAGTAGAAAAACAATGAATATATGAAAAGTCATGTTTCTATGGATTTCTAAATGTAACATATTATATGCCCTACATTTCCTCTTTCTTGGAAGCCAATTGACTAAGTACCTACATTTTGCACTGTTTCTTAAATAAAGTAAAATTAAGTTAAAGTAACTCCTACATAATTATTTATAAGGATTCTAAAAGCCACTTGGATGTGTCAATCCACACTTCCTGCACACCAGATGAACACATACTATTTCCTTTCTCTTAGTATTTATCAATGAGAATGAAAAAATAAT